ACTTGCATAACAATAGCAAAATTAGCATATTACATAACAAATACATAATTTTATGAATAACTCTAATAAATGGTTAGAAACTTTCATTTTTATTAAATTATCATTTAAAAAACTATTTCTTCCTTCTATAAGATTATAATAATTGTAAAATATCTTGATTCTCTTTGTTTAGTTTTTTTTTCCTTTTATTTTATTTATTTATTTTTTTTTAACTTTATCTTTTTTAAAATTATAAAATTTTACATTTGACAGCGAAACGTAGGAAATTGATCAGTATTCCATCCCGGAACATTCTCGATATTTCCTTAAAAACGTTAGAATCATCGACATCTACTAACGTTAATATTCATGCTCTCGTTGGAGTTAAGTTATATTTGAAAAGCTTTGACTTTGTTCCTGTAGATGCGGAATTCGCTGCTTCGTGGACAAAATCGGTTAAAAATGCCGTATATCAAAGTATTTTTTTCGGATTCGTAGATAATTCGTACCACTTTTAATATTATAAATAATCAAATATTTTCCTTTCCTCATGAATAGAATCGAAACCGGCAAAAAATTTAAAAATATTCATTAATCCTTTTAGCGGTACAGGCAAGGCAAGCCAACTTTTTCACGATCAAATTAAACCTATATTTGACGCTGCTGGTTGCACATATGACATCACAAGTATGTAACTTTATTAATATTTTAAAAGTAAATTTATTTATGATCTAATCTCAATTTCATGCATAGCCACTGAGCATAATAATCACGCAAAGGAAATCGTGAAAACAATTGACTTGAAACCTTTTGATGCCATTATCGTTGTTAGCGGAGATGGAATTGTTCATGAAGTTATTAATGGACTTTTAGAGCGTGAAAATATAAATGATGCAGCAATTCCAATTGGCGTAATTCCTGCAGGTAACTTTGTTGAATATTAAAGATGTTCATTATTAATAAAATTAAATCTTGCAATTATTGTAATCATTATAATTATTGTAACTATCATAATTATTAGGTTCTGGAAATGCCTTAAACATTTGTATACATGGGGAATCTATCTGTAAAAGTCTCCAACATTCGGCTCTAACCATAATTAAGGGTATAATATTAATATATTTAATTAATTTGTTTTTTTCATCAATTAATATTTAAGAATTTTTATTTACAGGTGTGCCTATGAAAATTGATGTGTGCTCTATTACCCAAGGTGACAAACGCTTCTTTTCCTTTATGTCTCAAACTTTTGGTATTATTGCAGACTGTGACTTGGGAACTGAAAAGCTAAGGTAATTATCAATTTAATAATTAATAATTTATTTACTATCTTTAAATTATTATTTATATTATTATTATAGATGGATGGGTGATTTTCGTTTTATTGTTGGTGCACTAAAATCTATCATTGAAGGTCGTCGATATAGCTGTGAACTGGCCATGAAAATTGCAGAATCTAATAAAGAAGCTATTATAGATACTTATCGAAAAGAATACGCTTCAAATATACATAATGTTCCAATATATCGCAATAATAAATATGGTACCGTAAACGATCCAATTCCAGATGATTGGACTATTATAACCGATGATGTGTCTACAATTCTTGGTGGTAAAGTTCCATGGATAGGTAAAGGCGCTATTCCGTTTAGCTGTTCCTTACCAAGCGATGGACTTATAGATCTGTTAGTCGCTCGACGGGATAAAGTGTCAAGAACTAAATCGCTCGCTTTTATGACTGGATTGGAAACTGGAAATCATATTAAGATGAACGAAGTAAGTTTTATCTAAATTTTTAACACTTTTTTTAAAAAAAATTAATGCTTATTATCTTTTCAGATTGATTATTACAAAGTTGAAGCTTTCAGATTAACACCAAAAAATAGTAATGGATATATAAGCATAGATGGTGAAAGTGTAGATTATTCTCCTTTTCAAGTTGAGGTTCTTCCCCAATTAATAAACATTATTAGTATTAATGGAAAATATCAATATATTGATATTTAAATGTTAATTTTATATTAATACTATATATGTATTATGGTATATTTCCTATTTGTCTAACTACAACCTATAAAATCAGAGTTGGCTACTAGAACATTTTAGTTTACAAATAGAGAAACAAGGTATTTTTCTTACATATGAAAAGTTTTTGTTTCAACATAAATAAATCAATAAATTAGGTTAAATAAACAAATTTGTGAAAAACTAATCAAATTGTACACGATGAAATCGAATATTTACTGTACATTAATGACATTTTTGATATTCGATTCTATTTTTAAGCTCTCGGAAGCATTTGATTATATTCAATCTTTGATGGAATTGAATGCCTTACTTAATCCTTGTGTTATTTAGAATAATATTAAGATCATAACTTATCATTTATAATGGTTGAAACACTTTGGATAGTTGACTCAGCTAACAATTTCAAAAGTTTACATCTATAAAAAACAATACCATTATCAAATTATCTTCAATATCATTAGACCGCTATGATTTAGGTTTGTATGTTATTACAATATTGATGTTTCTTGATGGTATACTGAGCAGTGTCAATGGATACGTTGGGGCGCCGGACATGTTACATAAAGAAATGTTAATAACTCGAAATTTTACTATGGTAACTTGATTTGATTCATAAGGTAAAATATTTAGCACCTAATTTACATAACTTTGTGTCTTTATATAATTTTTGGAACTTTATAAAAGTGTAAAAACTCTTGGACATTCTTGGACTTGGATGTTGAGCATGTCAGAAAAGGGTGGGTCTTGGCAAATTTATAGGCTCGAGCATATAATCGATCATACCCTATCTAAAAAAAAAAGGTTGAACCCGGGTAGGAAGTAAGTCAACTTGCGGGTCAACCCGTCTTTACAGAGAGAAACATGCAAATTTTGCTACTTGTAATTAACTATTTGTAGTAACTATAGTTTTACATTTAATATAAGTTAGCAATACACCTATTACTATTTTACTACTACGTTACTATATTAGCAATACTTTTATAAAAAACCAATGTTTCTATTTTTTAAAAATTTTTTATAAAATTGTAGTAAAAGTATTGCTAATATATAGTACTGTAGTAGACGTATTGCTAACTTATATAAATGTACTAATAGTTATAGCATAATGGAAATTGGTTTTAATTGGCTATCGATTTTGATCATCAGATCGAACATGATTGGTTAATGTATCGTAAATCCATATAGAATTCTTATTTGTAATATACCAACATTTTCGGTTACTTATGTAACAAAAAAATTTTTTTTATT